TTTTTTTTTTTTTTTTTTTTTGGTACCAGGGATTGAACTCGGGTCCTTGCGCTTGCAAGGCAGGCCACCGAACCGCTGAGCTAAATCCCCAACTGATTATTTTTTAATGTAAATTAAAAATTGAGGGTTTTTTTGTTTTGTTTTTTGTTTTTTTTTTTTCAGTCTTTGGCAAAGTCAATGATATAGTTCATCATACAAGACCTGGCATTAATTGGATGTAGAACGAAACTGCTAGTGTGCAGTTACTATTTGTGCCATGACTCCAGCTAGGAATAGGCAGTGCGGTGGTGGCATCCAGTGATCTTGGCTGGGGTTTCATTCATAGCTGGAAGGTTGGATGGGACCTGATGAAGTGATCTCACTCGCTGCCAAGGAAACCTAAGATCAAGACCAACCTTGACAATGCAGAGCCAGGGCGGACATACGAACCCTTTGACCAGAAGAGAGTATTATGTCATCATTTAATGTCCATCCAGTCCTTTGAGTTCTCTCTGCACACAGCACTGGGGACGTGTCCGTTCATACATGCACTCACCCATTGTAGCCCCTCTGGGTACATGGGACAAAATGCTTTACAGGCATCTTATGGGGAGTTCTTTATTTCCTGATCTCTAAGGTTCTTTTTGTCCCATTATTTTATGACTTCAAATTCATGTACAAGGAATAATGGTCGAGAAGTCAGAAACCATAGTCTGATTCACATTTCAACTTTGAGCACTGTGTGCCTAACCTGTTTTTTTTTTTTTTCCTAGCGATAAAAATCTATTAAAGTAGTGAAATATGTGAAAAAACTTTGAGGTTGTTTTGGAGGCATAAGGATAATTTCAATATAGAGTTAGAGTGTTTATATTACGGAAGACTAATCTGTTACTACAGACTGTTTGGGTTATCTTTTGCTGCATAATGAGTCACCCCAGATCTCAGTGACTTGAAACAGCAGCAGTCATTTATAACCTGTGAGTCAGGAATTGAGGCGAGCTGCTGCTAGGTGGTTTGTGTCTTATGAGTGCAGATGGCCATGGCAGGGCTAGTGTCATCTAAAGGCCTCTCATTCAGACGTCTGGTGCCTGAGCTGGAAATACTCCAGCAGCAAGTTCGGAAGAGCTGAGGTCCTTTGAACATCTCTGCATAGCAGTGTGTTTCACCACATGCTTGCTCCAGCATGGAAGCTGTGTGGTGGTCGTCCAGCCTGTGACTACAAGGTTCCCTCTGTCTTCATGTTCTGCCGTGCTCCAGGGTGTTGTCATTCTCGTGTTGAGATAGGAGACTAGGTCCTGCAGTATCTGAGGTCCCGAGTGAAAGGAAAAGAATGTAGAGGAAAGATACCTAATGTCAAGAAGTAGACCCTCAAGGGGCATATATTATTTCCACTGGTGACAATATGACCACATGGCCCTATCTGTGGCAAAGAAGGCTGAAAATGAGCTCAGCTGAAATTATATTCACTAAGGAAAAACAGAGAGTCTATTTTGGCAGCATCTCAGTCTTCTCAGGAAGTGTGGCAGTACAATGGATAGTTTAGAGTGCTCCATAATCTTTTATCTCCACACTAAGACACCATAAAAATTGCATCTGTCAAAGGTAAAAACAGCTCATTTGCATAAAAAGACAGAGCAGCTATTCTCTTTGGTTCCCTTTGTAACCAGACTGCCTGGAGTCGTCACTTAACTACGGCAACATATCTATATTAGCTCTGTTAACCAATTCCTTAATCTTTACTCCGCTGAGCTAGACATTGTACCTGTTCGTTTCCATTGGCTAGTGTCTTAGTCCATTCAGGATGCTATAACAAAATACCTCAGACTGGATCTTTATAAACAATAGAAATGTACTGCTCCCATTCCCAGAGGTGGCAAGTTGAAGATCAAGTCCCAGCAGATTAAGTGGCTTGTGAGTCCCTCTTGCTTCTGGGTGTTCTCATATGGCAGAAAAGGGGCAACAAGTTTCTTTGGCCTTTTGAAACAGGCACCAATCCCTTTCAGGAGAGTAGGGCCCGTGTGACCTCCCAAAAACCCCATTTCCTGTTAGCATCAATTTAATGGTTCAGTTTCAGTGTGAGAATTTGAGAGGAATACAGACATTCAGATGATAGTAACTAGCATAGGAAGCAATCAGTAAATTATATGAGTATTAGTGTTGGATTTTACAGCTTGAAGGAATCTTCCTCTTTCAACCCCTTTTAAAGGAAAGCATTTGTGTACAATATCTTTTCTCATTCTTGAACATCATTTGCATATACTTGCTTTCCTGACTCTTCATTGGTAATGAGATTTGTCATTTTTAGCAGTATTAAGCTTGTTTTCATATACTTGATGGTCATTTGTATGTCTCCTAAAAACCTATTTAGTTCTCTGCCAGTTTTCAAATTGAGTTACTCAATTTTTCCTCTTGAGTTATAAGAGTTCCTTATATATTTTGAATATTAAGCCTTTATCAGACAGGAGGTTGGCAAATATTTTCTTCTATGCCATAGATTGCCTTTTCATTTTGTTGATTATCTCCTATGCTGTATGGAAGTTTTATATTATGGTGTAGTTTCATTTGTCCTTTTGCTTTTGGGCCTACGTATGCTTCTGGTGTCATACCCAAGAAATCATTGCTAAGACCGTTATCAAAAAGCTTCCCCCTGTTTGCCTCTAGAGGTTTTGGTTTGTTTTGGTTTAGTTTTGTACCAGGGATCGAACTCGGGCCCTTGCGAGGCAGGTGGCAGAACCACTGAGCTGAATCCCTGGCCTGCCTTTAGAGTTTTTATAGTTTCAGATCTTACACTGAAGCCTTCTACTTATTTTGAGTTGATTTTTGTGTGTGGTGTAAGGTACAGGTCTATTTTTATTCTTTTGTTTGTAGATAGAAGACAATATGAGAATGGAATATTATCTAGCCAAAGAAAAGGAAACCCTGACACTTGTGACAGCCTGCGTGAGCGTGGAGGGCATTATGCCAAGTGAAATAAGCCAGCCACGGTAGGACAAATACTACATAGTATCACGTACGTGAGAAATGTAAAATAGTTGAAGTCATAATGGAATGGTAGTTGCCAGGGGCTGGGCACAGGAAGAAGCAGGATTATTAATCAAAGGATACAGAGCTTTCAGTTGTGCAAGATGAATCAATCCAAGAGCTCTCTCCAGCAGAGTGCTCGGAGTCATTATGTTGTTTACGTAAAAATTTCCTGGGAAGGGATTTACCTCAGTGGTTCCACTGCCTGCCTGGCAAGCGCCAAGTCCTGAATTCGATCCCCAGTACGAAAAAAATTTTTTTTCCTGAGGTGGATCTTATGTCAAGTATCCTCATAAGAAAATAATAAGGTATACAGAAATTATGGAGGTGATAGATGTGCTCATAGCACAGATTTTGGTGTTAGTTTCAATGGATATGTACCTATGTTCAAGTACATCAAGTT